AAGAAATAAAATATAAAATACTTAGTAAACTTAATAAGAGATATACAGACTTATATGAAGAAATCTGGAAAACACTCCTGAAAGATAGAATATTAGATTTGGACAACTGAATAGAAATTTCTTGACCTTGGCCAAGATAACTTAATATTGTAAAGCTGTCAGTTCTTTCTAAGCTAATTTGTATGTGAACACAATCCCAATAAAAATATCTACCAGCTTTTTTATAGGGCTTGACAAATCAAATTTAAGTTCATAGGAGAAGCCAAAACAATACAACAAGAAAAGCTGGAAAGGATTTTAGGCTTACCAGATATTAAAGCATACTATAAAGTCTTTTTAAGTAAAACAGTATGATACTGACACATGGATAGACCAGTAGAATAGAAAAGAAAATCCAGGAAAAACCCAAACACATATGAAAATATACTATATGATAAAGATGCGATCTTAAATCACTGGGACTTTTAATAAAGGGCTTTTTAATAGTACTGGAACAAGTGGAAAAAAAATAAACAAATTAGAACCATACTTCATACCATATACCAAAATTGTCTCTCACACAATTGATAGAAGACAATATGACCTGGGCATAGTGAAGGGTTTTTTTTAACTATGAATTAAAATTTAAATATAATGAAAGACTGATAAGGTTGACCACATATTTTTTTAAAGACTTTTACTTGGCCAAAAAACCTTTTCCAAAAGCTATTGGAAAACACTATTACCAAGGTCAAAACACAACTGACAGAGAAAGCCTTTGCAAGCAAAAGGCTGATATTCCCAATATATAAAAGAACTTTTAAAAATTGAAGGAATAGAGACCAAGAATCTAATAGAAAAAATAGACAAAAGATATGAATATGCAATTCACACAAAAATAAGATATAAAAATGATAAATCAGAAACTAATGAGATTGGTTACCTACAGAGGGAGGAGTGGAAAGGATGGGAAATTGGGAATAAGGTAGACAGGATGAAGGTGTGACATTTCTCCAAGTATACCTTTTTTATGTAATTTTGACTTTTAGAACTATGTTAACATTTTATATACTCAGAAAATATCAACAAGGAAAGATGAGGGAAAAACGTGATATACAAACAAAAACTAAATTAATCTAACTATATTTAAAATGACTACATTGAAGAGAGGAAGAAAGGGAAGGAGAGTCTTAATCTCAATTATCCTGAACATAGGCTGAAGACAAAAAGATCTATAAATAAATATTAAACTCTAATTAAGTTTGTTTTTCAGAGTGGTATGGGTTATCAGTTCTGACACTACTTTAATGTATATACTATAGTTAAGCTAATTAACATATTGACAAATAATGAGAGCCAGATTTCTCACTGTCAGAAGAGTTTAGAAATATGGAAGGAGGAAAGGATAGAATGAACCCTGTAATAATTGGGTTGGAATTAGAAATTTGTAGAAATAGAGATGCGTATATATATATACATACCTATATGTTTCCTTGCTCTGTCCTCAAAAAGGCCTAAAAATGATTACACCTCAGTAATTCATTTAACTAGTGCCTAGATCTTGGCTTCTAAATGTCATTCTCCATTAAAAAGATGCAGAACTCCTTGAAGAAATGGCTGATTCCAGGGCTGGGACTGCAAAAGTATAAGATGAGGCTAGAACATTTTGCTGTGCCAGAAAATAAGGAAGTGCTTAAAGAATGTTGAGGCTATGTCAAAAAGGCACAGAAGCCAACTGTAGAGTCCCTCAGAGGCTACATCTGGCTAATTTGAATATTAAAATAAATGATGATGATATCCGATTATAACATAGAGAATAAAATAGGAATCTAAGAGTTCATAATGGTATAAATAAATATATAATTAAATAAATAAATGGATAGAAAGGAAAGCTTTGCCTTCCATTAGAATGTCTACTTACAAAGATAGAAGGAATGATGAATCATTGGTGTATGCTAAAATTAATGAGCAAATTAACATCATGAGAAACAGGGTATTTCCATAGTCTCAACATATCCTTCCCCAAAATCAGTTACAGAGGGAAAAATAGTAGTCTTATAATGGAGAAATGTGGCCGACAAAAACTTAAATAAGTGATCAAAATTAACATCCCTAATATTGGGACAAATAGATACCATATGCCCCCGAAATGATGGACTGAAGACACAGTGTCGCTTCTGTGGTATTCCTGTGAAAAATGTGTAACCTGCCATCTGATGGGAAACATCAGGCAAACCCAAGTTGAGGTATATTCTATGAAAAAAAATTCTGTAATTCTTCAAAAGTAGCAAGATCACAAAAGACAAAGACTAAAAAACTGCACCAGATTAACAGAGACTAAAGAGACATTACAACTAAATGCAATATGTGATCCTGGATTAGATTCTGGACTGAGAAAAAATTTTTTTTCTTTTACAGTAAAAGGCATTATTGAGCAACTGAAATTATACTGTGGTTACATAAGAGGTGTCATTGTTTTTAGGAACTAGGGGGTAAAGATGTATGTCTGCAATTTGTTCTCAAACTTTATGTACCTATAGAGAGGGATAAAATAAAGCAAACACGATAGAATGTTAATGTTTTAGTATACTTTTAAATTTCTGAGCAATTGGGTAAAATGTTAGTATATGATAAAAGTAGATGGTGGGTACATGTGTATATTATTTTCTATATGTTTGAAGTATTTAATATTAAATTTTTTATTTTAAATATCCTACTTAAGTGAAATTATTCACTGAAGTAGATTCAAGCCCTTAGATTACAAGATGCATTATGGAGGAGTACCTGATTTAAAATACGTTATTTTAAAAATGTGTTTCATAAATTATACATACTACTTTATTTAACATGGAAATGTTCATCTTCATTAAACACTTAAATTCACCTTTGTCAATGAATTTAAGCATGTCAGAAAAAATGTCTCAAATCCGGAACTGAGGTTCCCAAATGCCAGTTTGTGATAGAATTTTTGCTAGTCCCCAATAAAATGAGAACTAGGATAGAGAATGATAGTGAGGTTTTATAAATTTAAATTTATTCTGTTTAAAAAAAAAGATTCTCTTTTATTCTAGGCTTTTTACCTTCTTGTTGATCATATATTCATTTATGAAATGATGATTCTGGTAGGGTGGTAGCTTAGGATGATTTTTTTTTAATGCCCTTTCTCAGAAACATAAAAGACAAGAAATCCATACTAGTTGCTTTTTGAAAGATTACTGATCTGTAAAAGCTAGGAGTAAGGGAACTGCATTTTCACTCCTTTTTAAATGTGATGTATCTGTAGGAACTGTACCTTTGATATAATTGAAAATACTTGGTTCACTTGTTTTTCTTCTTTATTCCCTCTATTTTAGGGCAAACACTGTATCCTTGATGTGTCTGGAAATGCCATAAAGAGATTACAGATTGCACAACTTTACCCAGTCTCCATTTTTATTAAACCTAAATCCATGGAAAATATCATGTAAGTATAAATGACTAAGGCATAGCCTCTTAAGTACAGATCCAGTCTCTAATCACTTAATTGGACTAGGTAATTTACTTAAGTTCCCTACATCTCAGTTCCTTTATTTGTAAAATGGAGAAATTAATAATATACCCACCTCTTAGAGTTGTTATGAGAGTTGGTCACTGTGATATTAATAATGAACATTTTTATACTAAACTATAAGGTAACATGTACTAGAATTTTATCTAGTCACATGTGGCTAGTACCTACTGAATTGGGCAGTACAACTCTGAGTAACCATTAAGAGAATAAAATAATGTGTAACTATTTACCAAACAGAGGGCAAAAAAATAGAATTTAAATAAAAACTAAAAAGGAAAGCACAAATAAAAACATAGAACAGATGGGGCAAAAAGCATACAGATAGTAGGATGGTATAAGTGAACCCAAATATTTCATTAGCTAAATGGTAGACTAAATTAAGATGTTCCTTTCCCCTAGGTATAGAGAGGTCACCTCTCACATGAGGATCTTAGGACCTACTTCAGAAGGAGATCAGAGTTCTTCCTATACCTGCCAATTTTCAAATTTTTTCCACTTAAAATATTCAGTATGCTAAAGTGCCATATTTTGGGATTGTGTCTTATGAAACCCCTCAACTATATGTTGTTTTCATAAGACACACTTTAAATAGTAGGCTTTGGAAAAGCCGAAAGTAAAAACATAGAAAAAAGATAAACCATGCAAACATTAATCAAAAGTACGCTGGTTTACATTACTATCAAAGTAATGCTTTAAGGCAAGAAGAATAAAGATTAGACTTCATGAATATTTTTAAATTTTTGTATATCAAAAGACACTATCCACAGAGTAAAAAGGCAACCCATAGGATGGGTGAAAATATTTTCAAATTATATATATGATAAAGGATTAATATCCAGAATATGTAGAGAATTCCTAGAACTAAACAGGAAAACAACCCAATTCAAAAATGCACAAAGTACGTGAATAGACATTTCTCCAGAGAAAATATGCAAATGACCAATAGCAAATGAAAAGATACTTAACATCACTGTTCATTAGGGAAACGCAAATCAAAACTACAATGAGATACCACATCACACCCATTAGGAAGGCTACTATTAAAAAAAAAAAAAAAAACAGGAAACAAGTGCTGGCAAGAATGTGAAAAAAATTAGAACTCCTGTGCACTGTTTGTGGACCATAAAATGATACAGCCGCTGTGGATAAATAGTATGGTAGTTCTTCAAAAAATTAAAAATAGAATTACCATATGATCCAGCAATTCTACTTCTGAGTATATATCCATGAGAATTGAAAGAAGGTCTTAAAGAGATATTTGTACACCCATGTTCATGGTAGCTTTATTAACAATAGCTAAAACATGGAAGAAACCCAAGTTTTCAGCGACAAAAGAATGGATAAAGAAATGTAGTATATACATACAAAAGAAGGAAATTCTGCAATATGGTATACAACGTGAATGAACCTTGCAGACATTATGCTAAGCGAAATAAGCCAGTCACAAAAAAAGACAAATACCGTATGATTCCACCTGTATGAGGTACTTAGAGTAGTCAGAATCATAAAGACAAAGTATAATGGTGGTTGCCAGGGCCTGGGGGGAGGCAAGAATAGAGAATCATTTGTAATAGGTTTTGTGTTTTGGTTTTACAAGATGAAAAGGGCTATGGGTGGGGTAGGTAGATGCGATAAAGGGGGTCAAATATGAGGGGAAGGGGAGGGTGAAGTGAGTAAAGGGGATCAAATATATGGTAGCTTAAGGAAACTGGACTTTGGGTGGTAAACACAATAGAATGTACAGATGTCAAATCATAATGTACACCCGAAAATTATATGATTGTATTAGCCAGTGTTACCCCAATAAACTTAATTTTTAAAAAATTTAAAAAAAAAAGGTTATAAGAATGGATGGTGGTGATGGTTGTACAACAGTGTGAAGGTACTAAAGCTACTGAACTGTACATGTAAAATGATTAAAATGGTAACTTATGTATATTTTATCACAATTTTTAAATTAATTTTTAAAAATCAGTGTAGTGTACCACATTAACAGATTTTAGGAATAAAAGCATATGATCATTTTAATAAATACAGAAAAAGTATTCAATAAAATTAACATACATTTTTGACAAAAACATTTTGAAAACTGAATAGAATGGAATTTTCTTAATTTGATGAAGGTCATCTACAAAATATAAAAGCAAGCATCATATTTAATGGTGAAATATTGAAAGTTTTCCCTCTTAAGTTAGGAACAAACTTACATGTACCCATCATCCAACTGCAACAATTATTATCAGTCTTGTTTCTTCTATCTCCCACCTCCTTAACCCTCCAGTCCCGATTACTTTGAAACAAATCACAGACATTACATGATTTCATCCATATATTTCAGTGTATATTTGAAAGATAAGAATTTCTTATTTAGAGAACTAGGCAAAATGGCATAGATGATAGAAGCTTCATTCATCCCCTCTTGCAACCACATCAAAATTGAGATGGAACATGGAGCAAACAGCAAGCAGAGTCGCCTGGGAGTCTAGATGAACAGAAGCCCTATAATAAGAAATCACCCTGCAACAGTTGGAGGTAGGAAGGGGCAAAGATGTGAGGCTGCCCAGTGGGACAGAGGCTTTGGCAGCTGCACTCAGCAACTGTAGATGCCTCTTAAAGGGGCCGTGTACGCAACCGGACTTTCTCAATGACAGACGTTCTCACTCTGAGCACCAGCACCAGGTCGGCTGCTCAGGGGTCACCAGGGACTTGCAAGGGGACACTGAGTTGTCGGAGCGAGGGCTGGAGGCAAGGCTTTCTATCAAGCAGAAGTGCTGGCAGTATCAATTGTTCCTATGTTGAGCCCCCCGCCTTCCCAGCATGTGGATGCAGTGCTGCCATAGCTGAGACTTCATCTAACTGGATAAGAGGTCGATCCACCCCGAGGATTCCCTAAAACCCTGCCTCCCCCAACTTGTGGCCCCACCCAAGCAACATCCCGGTATATCCTCAGCGAGTCAGATGTGCCTTGCTGAGCAGCGCCTAGACTTACACTGCAGGCACCTGGCCTGGGTTTCTGGTGTGGCCTTTTGAGGCAACTGTATGCACCGCATCTGTGGATTGCTTGCTGAATCTTAACAGGTGACCCAGAGGGGTAGAGGTTTGGGCTAAATTTGGCTTGCAGCTGAACCCCTCTCAGGATTGTGCCACTGGACACCTACTTCACAAAGCCACGCTAAGACCAGGAGACTCAGGAGCTTTGCTTAATACATAGAAACAGACACAGAAAGGCAGCCAAAATGGGAAGATACTCAATGAACTTTTGGGAAGTGTAGATAAATTCAGTGAGAATTTCAATGAAGAGATAACATAAAAATGGAAATAGAAATTTTAAAAGGGAACCAGTCTGAAATGAAGAACACATTATATGAGATGAGAAGTATATTAAACAGAATAAACAAAGTGAATAAAGAAAAGGATCATATTCCCTATCTAGAGGATGGGAAAGCCAAGAACACACAATCAGAATGGCAAGAGATGAGATGCCAAGACTATAAAAATAATTTAAGGAGCCTAAGAGACACTATTAAAGGTAAAAATATCTATGTCATAAGGGTAACTGAAGAGAAGAAGTTGACTATATATTTTAAAAAATGTTGATGTAAAACTTCCCTAACCTGGTGATGGAAGTAGACATACAACCCCAGGAAGCTCAGAGAGTCACAAAGAAAATGAACCCAAAGAGGCCCACACCAAGACACATTGTAATTAAAATACCAAAAGTTAAATACAAAGAATCTTAAAAGCAGCAAGAGAAAAGCAATTAGTTACCTACAAGGGAGTTTCCTTAAGACTGGCAGCTGATTTCTCAAAAGAAACTTTGCAGGACAGAAGGGCTTGGCACAAAATATTCAAAGTGTCGAAAACTCAGGATCTATAACCAAGAATACTTTATCCAGCACAGCTATCATTTAGAGTCGAAGGGCAAACAAAATAAGCTAAAGGAATTTACCAGCACCAAGCCAGTATTACAGGAAATTTCGGAGGGACTTTTTTTAAGAAGAAAAAATATGTATCAAAAACAAGAATAAAGAGTAGTAATAACTACATTCCTATCAACAAGTACCTCAAATGGAAAATAATTAAGTGCTCCAACCAAAAGATAGAGTGGCTGAATGGATAAGAAAACAAGACCCCTACATATGCTGCCTACAAGAGACTCGCTTCAGATTGAAAGACACACAGGCTAAAAGGAAGGGGATGGGAGAAGATATTGCCCTGATAGACCTAGAGGGTATTGCACTGAATGAAATAAGTCAGGGACAAATATTGCATGTCACATACATGTAGAATCTAAAGAACAAAATAACACAACAAAAATGGAAATAAACTCATAGATACTGGGAATATTTTGAGGACTAGTAGTTTGGAGAGGGGTTGGGGGGACAGCAAAAAAGGGCAAAGGGATTAAGAAGTACAAATGGATAGTTACAAATTAGACATAGAGATATAAAATGTAACATAAGGGAAATAGTTAATATGTAAGGGGGAAGATGGGTACTAGATTTAGTGGGGTGATCATTTTGTGAGATATATAGATCTCTAATCACTGTGCTGTAGAATTAAAATAATACATTATTGTATGCCACTTATAATCGAAAAAAACAGATTGTAAAAAAATTTATTTAAAAACATCACTAGGATATCATGCTTAATAATTCTTTAATATCATTAGATAATTCATATTTTCCTGATTGTTTCATAAGTTTTGTGTATTTTTTCAATTTGTTTGTTTGAATCAAGTTCCAAATTATCAAACAGAGCTCATTCGGAACTTGATTCAAACATATTTCTTTTCATTCCTATTTATTTAATGAAGAAGCTAAGTCATTTCTTCTGCAGTTTTCCCCAGACTGTACTTTGCTGATTGCCTTCTCATATAGTGTTGTTTACTGTGTTAATGTGTCCCCTTTGTTACCTATAAACTGGTAGATAGATCTGTAAGTCATTTTGATAAGAAATGTTCATCAAAGTCAAAACTGTCAAATTAATCTTAGTTTTTTTGGCTACTTTAGACCAATGCAAAGATGTGTTGAAACCATTGTCATTTCAAGTAAAAAGCTACATATTCAGTGACTGAATTTTTATTTTAATGACATTCATAATCTCAACAGAGCTCAACTTTTCACGTTTATGTTTTATGTCTTCTCTCTTTTGTCATCTTTCTTCAAAAAGTATTAATTAGTAATTATCAATTTCTAAATTTATTTGCATAGGGAAATGAATAAGCGTCTAACGGAAGAACAAGCCAGAAAGACTTTTGAGAGAGCCATGAAACTGGAACAAGAATTTACTGAGCATTTCACAGGTTAGTATCATGTGCGGCAGTGTTCTTTATGATAGAATTTTGCTTTAGAGCCATGTGAACTAACCCATTGAGATGGATTTTGAACTATGCCCGTATCTACCAGTAATTACTACTATCATTTTCAGAATAAGTTATCTAAGCTAGGCACACTGGTAATGAGGAATCTTGAAAGTTTGTGTTTCTTGGGTTGTTGATTAGGACAGCATGCACAAGAATAATTCATACTTGACGAGAAAAATAGACTCAAGTTCTTCTATAAAACTGACATTTCTCTTAACTTTTATTAATTTTGATCTATTTTAATATATTTGTTTACAAAGAAAAGAGCGAGTAGCAATTTTCACATCTCTCATTTTGTCCTAAATTATTCTGTAGGTATCTTTGAACAGATTTTTGTCATTATTGTTATTTGTTTGAAATAATGATAAGCTTATATTTGGTGTTCACACTAAGTATCATGGTATTGTAACCCATGTGCTTTTTCATGTATGTATTATAATTTCAGACGTACAGAAAAACCACAATAGTACCAGCAATTCTTATATACTCTTAACCCATATTCCCCAGATATTAACATTTTACATTTATAATTTTTTTCGGAAACACTTAAGAGTTGGTTGCAAAAAATAATAAAATAATAAAATAAAATAAAGAGTAGGTTGCAGACAGATGCTCTTTTGGCTCTAAATACTTCATTGTGTATTTCCCAAATACATAAAACAAAGTAAAAATCACCAAATCTTACTTTTTTATCAGTTTTTAAAATAAAAATTTTTATATTTTTACAAATAGGAAAAATAATGAAATGAGCAGTTTTTACTGAGCCAACAGTACATAAGTGGTGTCTCTTCCTGGATAAATAACTATTTCTAAGATTTAACATCTGCTATTTCACTAGTAATTAAAATAATGAAGATACACAATTAATGGAGGTCTTTGATTTTGTTTCTATCATTACAGCTATCGTACAGGGAGATACGCTGGAAGACATTTACAACCAAGTAAAGCAGATCATAGAAGAACAGTCTGGTCCTTACATATGGGTTCCAGCAAAAGAAAAGTTATGAGGACTGATGTTTCTCTGTTCTCTTTTCCACGGTCTCATTTTCTTTGACATTTCTTTGCCCTTTCCTTCTGGAGTCTGCCTTTAATACTCCTTCCATGTTGAATCATATCCCACATATCATGGTCTGCAGTTGTACTTATTTTTGACATCTATTATCTCCTTCAAGTTGTAGCATCTGTATTATTTTGTCACTATTGGTTTTGGCCATTTTTCAGAACTGAAGATAGAATGGCCTGACCAGCTATTAAGGATTTGGGGAGATGGGGAAAATGTGGTAAAATTCCTTAATGTTTAAGGGAAAGTAACTTTAAGAGATTTCAGAAAAGCTTTATATACATTCTTTTCAAATTTCAATATAAATGAAAGAAATTGGTTTTAATCAGTGATTTAGTAAACTTTGAGCAACAATGCACGCTTAACTTTAATAGCATGGTTTGGCCAGTATATTAGCCCTCAAGTCCTTTTCTCAATTGATTTCTGTTATGAAAGCGAATATTTCATTATAGACAAATTATGGAAAATATGTGTTTTTTTTAATTTCAAAATTAATGTCCGGGTTAACTTTCATAATGTCATAAGGGATATTCATTTTTCATAAGAGCTCTTCTTAAAGTCTTTTATTGTTTGAGGGGTTTTTTTTTTTTCCAGTACATTTGCTAGAAATAACAATGTTGAGATGTTTTTAATGTACTTGTGCAGCACTATTTATAATGTCTTACAGAAGTTATTAATGCATAATGATCATCACATTTTCTGAAATGAGTCCATGTTTAGGTGCTAGAGGAGCTCACCTTTTACATATAAAGTTGAGAAAATTTCATAGACATAAATACAGACAAAACAGACATTACAGTGGTGATGTAGTAATCACGGCAATGGAAAAAGGAGTCCAGTTCATAGCCTAAAACTTTAAATGTATTCTTAGGAGTCAGATTTTAATGAATATTTTACCCACAATAACTGCCTATTTTGTTATAATAAAAATATATATATAAATATATATAAAATTTTCTTTAAACTCTGTAACTATGGGAATTATTTTCTTTACATAGTTGCACACACACACACACAAACATATATTTAAAATATATTTTTTTTCTTTTGCCACCTACTCTTTTTGTTTGGTTTTTAAATTAAATATTACTTGACTAGACTTTTATCTTCCTTAACTATGTGAACTGAAAATGGGGATATGATGGTTATGGAAAGAAACCTTTAGGGAAATTAGATTGCAAGTAAAAGTATGGGCATGTTCTCCTCTTTTCTACAAAAGTTTTCAAATGGTTCCTGGTTGGTTTATTTTTGTTTCGTTTTTGTTTTTGTTACTGTTGTTCTTGTCATTGGGTTTGAATTTGGTCCTCTGCCTCACTTTCCAGTTCTCCTCCTTTCATAATAGGCAAACAAGCAAAAGCCTCGTGTGTGTGAGTATATTTCCCTCAGACTGCACTCCTTTCATCTTTCATGGCTGCTCCGCACTAGCGTTGTGCAGATCTTCATGGTGATCAATTTTAAGAAATTTTAGTGAAGGGTAGATATGATTTCAGAAATCAATTTCTCTGGTCTTTTATATTAATATTGTTTACCTTCCCATTGCTTTTTTTGGAGTTTATTAAATATGTGTTTTGACAACCTCCTCATTACACTTTCTTAAATGAGTACTGGTTTGTAAAGAATTATCGACATTATCCATTCCATTTATGAGAAAGAGGAGAACAGCTAATAAACTTTATTGTAAAATCCATGTGATAATTGTGTCTTGAATTCTGAAAAAAAAATTATAAGGTTTTCCTGGAACAGTTTGGGCATCACATAATTTGTAAACTGAATTCAAGAGCCATTAGGCAACCCAATCAAAATTTCTTCTGTAGGTTTTGGAATTGAGTATGTTAACACATTGAAATATATACTACAGCTGTTACACTAAATATAGTAGGTTGGTACCAAATATAAACATACTAGAAGAAAATTATTCAAGAGCCCCAGAAATCACCTTTCAGCAAAACCCCAGCATAAGCTATTTTGACGTGTTTCTTAGTCACATATTGTAAAATATCAAGAGTTATAAAATGATGCCATTTATGTGTTAAATATTACATTGCTTTATGGATGTCCTTGTTAAGTGGTTTTTTGTTTTTGTTTCTTTTTTTTTGGAAAGAAAATATAGTTGACCTTTGAACAACATGGGTTTGAACTGCACAAGTCCACTTATATGTGGATTTTTTTTTCAATCAATATACAGTCAGCCTTTGTCTCCACAAGTTCCAATCCTCAGATTCAACCAACCTTGGATCAAAAACAGTATTTTTAATCCGCAGTTGGGCATCCACAAATCCACAAATTCAGAGGGCCAACTGTGCAGTGTGCTACGCCATTTTATATAAGGGACTTGAGCATCCCTGGATTTTGGAACTTGCAGTGGGGGTGGGTGTTCCTGGAACCAATGCCCCACAGATACCAAGGGACAATTGTAGTTAAGTTTTAGGGGAGTTAAGTTAATATGCAGATTTTCAATTGCACAGGGATCAGCACCCCTAATCCCCCACGTTCTCCAAAAGCAGCTGTGCTGTTTTGTGAAGCTTTCTAGATTGTATAAGATTATTAATAAAAGTACTAATTGCTCAGTACTACTATGCAACAGCCACTTTCGTATATTCTCATTTAATTAATAAAAAATAAGAGTTCTAGCCCCACTATAAGGCTTAAGTGAAATGACTTGCCCAAGATGATCACTAAGAAGTAGCAGTGCTTAGTATTTGTATCCAAGTCTCTCTGCCCCAAATTCTTTCTAATGTGCTATGCTGCCTCATTTTTCAGCCCCTACGATGAATGCACTATGACTTGTTATTTTAGTCCCACTTTACAGATAAAGATGAAGGTCTTTGCCCAGAGTCACACAGTAGTAAGGACAGACCTATAGAATAAATCATTCCTATCACAGCTGTAATTAATTCTGGGAAACAAAGCCTAGCACTGTCACAGTGACATACAAAGAAAAAAACTTCTTTAGAACCAAAATAGAACAGTATTCACTTTAAAAAGCTCACTATTCTAATACACAAAGAATAATACTATTTTGAATGTTTTATAAAACATTCCTTGTTTCTAATATGCTTTTTAATATCCTTAAGTTGATAAGAAATAAAAATGCATCTTAAACATGACTACACATTTCTGGTTGTTTTCCTATTCCATATCTGCCCAGGTCTCTTCAAAAACTGATGCAAACAGAACTCATTCCAGCAGAATACACTCTGGTTAACAAAAATCTGTTAAATCACTACATACTATTTAAATCCCAAAGATGGCAATTTGGGGACTTTACTAATGAGGAAAATTTGTTCTCTAGAATATTAAACAGTTACCTTCCAAGAGTCTCTGCCTTGAATACTCTCAATACATGTGGTGAAACAGAAGGCCAGAGATCCCAGTGTCTTAAGCAAAGCTACACTACGAATAAGGAACAGAGCCAGAATTACCTCCTGGCTCCTGGAACAGTGGTTTATCTACCATACCAGTTTCTTTTACTTCTATACTGTGAGCTGAATTTAGTGGGTTATTCAGTCCCTCAATGTTTGAATTACTGATCAGAAAAAAGTAAATGTCAATAAATTTGAGATTTTATTGAGATGTTTGGAAGGTAGCTAGGAAAAACACGGTCACTTTCCTGACAAGTTTAGATTACCTAGTGTTTTCATCCATTGTTGAAGATTCTGTTTATCTCCCTGCAGAATTGTACAGTATAGCTCTCATCGGCTTTGGCAGCAGAGTGCTGTAATGTGAAGAATATGGGCTATGGAGTCAGAGCCTGATCTGAATGCCAGTCCTGCCATTTACTGGTTACATAACCTTGGTCAAGTCATGTCATTCTTCTTTCTTTTTATCTCTCTGTAAAATGGAAATAGGTTGAGAATAAGATTATGAATAAAGAGGGCTCGTACATAGTACACTCTAAAAGTTAATTCCCTTTTCCTTTGAAATCAGAAGTCTGGAATTGTTCCAACTCGCCTTGAACAAATTAACCTGAGCCTTCATTTTGCCATATTTTAAATGAGATTCGAATGACTACCTTGCAGGATTGTTTTAAGAGTTAAATAAACCAATGTATACAAAACATCGATCACTGCATCCAATACTTGACTGTCAGTACTTCCTGTTCTTCCTCTTGCTCTAGTGTGTTTATGGCTGGTAGCAAAAGACTGAGAAAATGTGGTCCACCATTCTTCATCACCTATAGAGAAATCTTTGACAGACTCTTAGTTTAAAAATTATTGACATTTCAGTTCCTATAATTATGTTTACTCATCTCTTCTATGACGTTGGCCTACTCTGACTCAATCTTAATCATGGAACTGGAAAACAGGGTGATTTCATAAGCCATACTCACCTCTCTGCCTATGCTAGATTCAACAGTCCTTAACAATTCTCTAGAACATAAATTATTGAAAGTCTAGAAACAGGCCTTAAATCACTTAAATCGCCCAGATAAGATACATTTTTTTCATTCAATTTGACTAAGAATAGAATAGTCACTATTTAATCATTGACTATTTTCTCACTAACTTTCCACTATCAGCTCTTACCTCCATTCCACCCCACATACATCTAAAAGCTGGTAGAATAAATCCTGGTCTGCTAAACAGTATTGTGAACAGTATTGGTGATCAGATAACCTGGTATTATTGTTTGAGACTTTTAGGAACAGGTACCAAACCTGACCAGGGAGAGTTTAACACAATGATTTTTCTAGTGGTTTCTATTGCCTATAGTACGGGAAGAATTAGGGGAAGGAGACCAGAGGACAGTGAAGGTTAGAATTCTCTCCCACTTTGTTTGTTTACTTTTTATTAGAAAATAACATATAATAATATCGTACGAATACATATACCTCAATGAACAAACCCTTATGACAACCAGCATGAAGCTCAAAAAACAACGTGACCAGCACTCAGGGTGCACCCCCACCCCCGGTTCATTCCCAATCAGTACTGCTACTCCAAGGGAAGCCACTATCCTAACTAGGTTAATACACTTTTTAAATTTATGTACTGTAAAATTCTGTATGGTGTACAATTCTGTTTTGACGCATGCATAGTCATGTGTAACCACTTACACAGTCGAGAATACAAAACGGTTCCATTATCCCAACAAGTTCTCTCATGCTTGCCACTATGTAGTCAATACTTCCTCCCACCCCAACTTCTAACAACCATTGATCTTTTTGCAGTGCCTATTGTTTTGCTTTTCCCAAAATGTCATATAAGTGGAATAACATAGGTGGCATTGGGAGTATGGCTTCTTTCACTTAGCAAAATATCGGATTCATCCATGTTGCTGCATGTATCAATTGTTACTTTTCATTGCTGAATAATATTCCAGTTATGAATATACTACAATTTTTTTATTCATTCACTAGTTGAAGTACTTTTGGATTGTTTCCAGTTTATCCCACTATATTTTTGTACTTTTTTGCAATTCTAGGCCTGCAGGAACAAACGGCAGAACCAGAAATGGATTTCTGATCTGACAGCCATGACAGGCCCTCCCTCACTCCGCCTCCATCTCTGCTATGAACATCCACACATTTTAGCAGTTGCATAGGACCCTGTCATCCTAAAACAAACTTTAAATGCACAATAATAGATCCCAAGAGCTTATTGACAGAACAAATTTGTTCCTAAAGTTGGAGACTGTAAGAATAAGCAATTTAGGATTTTTAGAATTTCAAATTCCCTTCAATAATGCTCAGATGATCCAATAACTGGATGTGCCAGTGACGGGTGCCAGATTCTCATTGCTGGTGTATCTAAGGGAAAGAAAAGTAGTCAGTTTAGGACATTAGCAAATTAGAAGAATAGTCTGAAATAGTCTGAAAAATAGTCTGAGCAACAAATGAAAACAGCCATTTGTTAAACGTGAGATTGTCTAATAGCCTTACAATTCGGAAAACAGCCCATGGAGACAGTCTTAATCTTTTTAGAAAATCTAGTTTGTTGAACACCAAAGATTAGAATTTGTTTCATTTTTCAATTACAGTTGACATTCAATATTATGTTAGTTTCAGGTATATAGCATAGTGGATAGACATATAACTTATGAAGTGAGCCCCCCAATAGGTGTAGTACCCACCTGGCACCATACATAGTTATTACAAGATTATTGACTATATTCCCTGTGCTGTACTTTACATTCCTGTGACTTTATTAACTGTCGATTCGTACTTAATCCCTTCACTTTTTCCACGCAGCCCCGCAAACCTCTCCCATCTGGCAATCATCATGTAGTTTTATTTTGAATTATTAACTACCAATTTTCTTTAGTTGGTAACCTCTCTGCATCTTAACTATGACTGATATTATGTGATTAACAGAAATCTAATTCTAGTGCCGCACTCTTAGGGAATCCTTGAACCACAGCTGTCCCTAATTGGTTAGTTTGACACTCGACCTTTTTGCATGCAGCTAACACTCTCAACCTTGTCAGTCTTTTGCATTCTTAACACATTATAACTTGATTTCTCACTTGTGTGTTTTCAAAAAAATATTGGGTCACTACTTTAAACTGGCTCTAGACTACACCTTAGGATACTGGTGTTTACCCTAAGTAGGAATAAACTACTTATCTCATTGAGCATATATTCACCCATATTTCTGCTAATCAAATGTTAATGACCAATTTCATTTGGACGGTTTCTAACTACATAGACTGATTTTTTTAACTATATAGAAATCAGTGTACAAAACA